GGGCGGGGTCGGCATTAGGAAGCAGAGTCCCTGCCCTTAAAGACATAGCACAGCTAGTGCAAATACAGCATGGAACTGGCAGTTTGAAAAACAGCAGGGGCGGATGGGAGGGTGAGTGATTTGCTAATCTTAGAGCAGGGCCTGGAAGGACAGGGATCACAGAAAGATGCCTCCAGGAATAAAGGAGCTGGCAGGCACCATTTCCTTCCCCCACCCCCAGCATAAACCCAACCAGCAGGGATCCTACCCTGTCACTTGTTACCTAAATTGCCTGCACCAACACTCCCCCACCCCTCCTCACTTCTGCATATCTGCCCTTCCCAGTGACATTCACCTTAAGTCTCGGTGCTACAGGCCCCACCCCAAAAGACCAGGGCAAACCTTGCCAACACATCTCCTGACTCAGGTTTTATGGAACCTCTGGAGGTGGTGGGGGAGAGGGGAGGGGGCGTCAGGTCTCATTTCCCAAGCTGACCGCCACATACCTTGTTAAAATGTGCCCCACCCCTGCTGGGGATTAAACACTGCCCACAATGGTCAAAGAGAGCCTCTGCAGACAAGGGGACTGAAGGAAAAAGAGGCCAAGACTCAACAGCAGAACACACACAACACACACAGGAGATACTCCTTGAAGTGCCGGGCCCTGGGGAGCAGGGGAGACTGCACTGCAGGGCACTAAGGGACTTCTTCTTCATAAGGCTATTACTGTTAAAGACAAGGGTAGCTGACTTTCCTAACACACAGAAACAGACACAGAAAGTTGGACAAAATGAGAAGACAGAAAAATACGTCCTAAATGAAAGAACAGGACCAAACCACAGCAAGACCTAAGTAAAATGGATATAACTAATATGCTTGATAGAGAATTTATAGCAATGATCATAAAGATACTCACGGAACATAAGAGTGGATGACATCAATAAGACCCGTAACACAGAAATAAAAAGAACCAACCAGACATCAAGAACACATTAAATGAAATAAAAAATACACTTGATGGAATAAATATCAGGCTAGATGAAGCAAAGGAACAAGTTATGACGTGGAAGACAGAGTAATGCAAAGTAACCAAGCCGGGCAAAGGAAAAAAAAATTATGCATTTAAGAATAGTCTAAAGGAACTCAGTGATACCATCAAGTATAGTAACATTCTCATTATAGGAATCTCAGAAGTCAGAGAAAAGGGGGCAGAAAATTTATTTGAAGAAATAATAGCTGAAAACTTCCCTAATCTGCAGAAGGAAAGAGATATCCAGATTCAGGAGGCACAGAGATCCCCCTTAAACTTCAACCCAAGGAGGTCCACACCAAGAAACATAGTAATTAAAATGGCAAAAAATAGGGGTGCCTGGGTGGCTCAGTCAGATAAGCATCTGCCTTCGGCTCAGGTCATGATCCCAAAGTCCTGGAATTGAGCCCCCCATCTTCTCCCTCTCCCTCTGCCCCTCCCCCTGCTTGTGCTCTCTCTCTCCCCCTTTGTCTCTCAAATAAATAAAATCTCTTAAAAAAATGGCAAGGGGCGCCTGGGTGGCTCAGTTGGTTAAGCGGCTGCC